TCATAAAAAACAAATGGTACTGGCACAAAAATAGACCTGGAGATTAATAGAACAAAACCAAAGACCCAAATGTGAGTACACACAGTTTCAGCCACCTGATATTTGATAAAGAGGCCAGGAACACACAATGGGGGAAAGACAGCATCTTCAACAAATGGTGCTGGCAAAACTGGATCTCCACCTGTAGAAAAATGAAACTAGATCCTTATCGTTCACCTTGCACAAAAATTAACTCCAAATGGATCAAAGACCTCAATGTGAAACCTAAAACTGTTAGAAGAAAACATTGGCAAGAACCTACAAGATATAGGTGTAGGAAAGGACTTTCTAAACTGGACATCAATTGCTCAGGAAATAAGGTCAAGAATCATAAATGGGACCCCATTAAACTAAAAAGCTTCTGTACATCAAAAGAAGCAACCAAAGGAAGTGAAGGGAAAACCCACAGAAGGGGAGAAAATCTTCACCAGCGACACATCTGACAGAGGTTTAATATCCAGAATATATAAAGAACTCAAAAAACAAATCAAGAAGGCAAGTAACCCAATTAAAAGTTGGGCTAAGGAGCTGAACAGAGAGTTCTCGAAAGAAGAAATAAAGATGGCTAAGAAACATCTTAAATGGTGCTTAACATCATTAATAATTAGGGAAATACAAATTAAAACCACTTTAAGATTTCATCTTACCTCCAGTCAGACTGGCTAAGATAGAACAAATGATACCAAATATTGGAGAGGATGTGGGGAAAGGGGAACACATCCACTGCTGGTGGGGCTGCAAACTGGTTCAACCCCAATGGAAGCAGTGTGGAGAACTCTTAAAAAACTAAAAATGAACCTACCATTTGACCCAGTTATACCACTCCTTGGCATATACTCAAAGGACTCATCCAACTTCAGAGACACTTGTACATCCATGTTTGTTGCTGCTCTTTTCACAGTAGCTAAGAGATGGAAGCAACCCAAGTGTCCCTCAACTGATGAGTGGATAATAAAAATGTGGTTCATTTATACAGCGGAGTTCTACTCAGTGGAAAAGATGAAATCATGAAATATTCAGGTAAATGAATGGAACTAGAAACTGTTATACTAAGTGAAGTAACACAGACTCAGAAAAACAAATGATGTATGTTCTCCCTCATATGTGGATCCTAGCACCAAATCCTTATAAGTGAGTATGTATCCAGACATAACTACAGGAACCAGGATAATGACAAGGAACCAGGGAGGCAAAGAAAAAGAAAGAACCTGAGAGAGAAGAACAGTAGGAAACAGGTGTTACAAGGGAGAAATGGATAAAAATGGGGTTATTTAAATGGATGGGGAGATGGAGGGTTATACAAGGAACTTTAGGGATAAAGGGAAAGAAGGAGCTCAAGAGAGGTGGGACCATAGGTGACAGGTATTATCAAGGGAGAAATGGTGAAAATGGGGGCACTTTATATGGGAAACTACAGCAGAAGGGTTAGACGGCAAGGGAGAGGAGAGATAAATAATGCCTAGCTAGTTTTTTTTGTTTGTTTGTTTGTTTGTTTTTGGTCTTTTTGAGACAGGGTCTCCCTGTAGCCCCAGCTGTCCTGGAACTCACTATGTAGACCAGGCTGGCCTTGAACTCACAAAGATTCTCCTGCCTCTGACTCCCAAGTGCTGGATTAAAGGCATGTGCCACCACACCCAGCCTTAAAAAACCAGAGCGAATCATATTAATCCAACAACCTACTGACAAATTATATTTACGTTATCTCTACATGAGTCCATGTGTATAGCTAAAGGCTACATAACAAGAAACTGACAGGAGATACCTTCCTCTGAGTTGTTGGCCAGGTTGGCCCAAGAGACTCCCAAAATTACTCAGGCTATTTCCACAGTCCTTGATGGCCTCCCAGAATTTGAAGGTAAGACCCTACTGCCAAAGGCAAAGCATACTTCGGACACAGGATTTGGATCAATAGAGCTGCAACTGACCTGCAACCACTTCCCTGAAGGCTAGGTCTCATAGCTTTGGAGAGCCCTATGAAGGTGCCAAGGCAAAACATCAATGGATGATCCAACACCAGCTTCAAGACCAAATAACCACATCAATGGCCAGCAAAGCGTATGTCATTGGTGCAGTAGTAGCACTCTTATATTGGGGGCAATCAGCACCTAGCTAATTTGACTAAACACCCACTCAGAGGAAGGAAACTCAGGTGTGGTAATGTAAGCAGAGCCTAATACAGTCGGCTGGAGTGGCCACAGATCTTGGAGAAAACCCCAAGACTGTCACATCAAAAGACTAATGTGATTTCTTACTACATGCAAAATGTGTATCCTTATGTTTACAGACAAGTATCCCAATCACCACTCATCAGAGAAGCTCATTTTGCACCAGTCAGAGACTATGACCAAGTACCACAACTGGTCACACACAGACATTGTCTATGAATTGCCCAGGCCTAAGTGACACATCTACAATGCAACCTCTACACCTAAGGCTCATGGAACATAGAACAGGATAAAGAAGAGGACACTAAGGAATCTCTCGGTTCTCAATAATGAAGCTCCTCATGCAGCGGAGGGCCAGGAACACACAAGGTCACAAATGGCCAAAGTGTAGAGATCAAGAGTCTGCTGGATGCTGGTCCTTGGACAGGATCCCTTTATTAAACTTCTTCCACCCAAGGCTCAGGGACCATCTCAGAAGAGGGGGCAGAGAGATTGTAAGAGCCAGGGAGGCTGTGCATAACTATATAGAAACAGAGTCCTACAAGTTCCTGGGAACCTGCTCATATGATTCTATGGCAATAGTGTTAGCATACACAAGTCCCATGCAAACTCAGGTAGACAACAACACAGCATAGAACTGGGAAAATGAACAGCAGACCTAAACTTATCTGAAGGAATCTTGGCAACTGATTGCTGCAAGATCAAGAAGAGCTGATCTTTCTAAAACAAGGGACTCTCGATAGGCTGACTAGACTTAGTACAGGGAGACCCTGTCTTAAAAAGACCAAAAAAAAAAAAAAAAAAAATTCATCTTTATGTCTTATTTTATGTCAAAAAAAATCACAACAGGGCAGAGCAGGTGGGGGCACTTGCCACCAACCCTATTGTCCTAAGTTCAAGTCTCAGGCCCCAGATGGTAGAGAAAAGAAATGATTCCCACAGGCTGTCTTCTGACCTCCACACAGGACCATGCATGCATGTGCACGCGTGCACGCACACACACACACACACACACACACACACACAAAATGAAAAAAAAGAAAGAAGGTATGTTAAAAAAGGAAAAAAAAGCCGGTGTCCTAGTTAACTTTAACCGTCAATTTGACACACCCTAGAGTCATCTGAGAGGAGTCTCCATTGAGGGATGTCCTGGATCAGATTGGCCTGTGGAGAACTGTCTCAACTGCTAACTGATGTGGGAGGACCCCATCTGTCCACTGTGGGAGGCACTGTTCCTAGACAGGCACTCCTGTGTGTAAGAAAGCTGGCTGAGCCTGAGACTCTGCATGAGTGTGAGTGGCAGCACGTCTCCATGACTTCTGCTTCAAGCTCCTGCTTGACTGCCCTCCATGATGGACTGTGGCCTGAAAGCTGAAATAAACCCTTCCTCCCCAAAGATGCTTTTGGTCATGGTGTTGTCATAGCAACAAAAAGGAAACTGTAATAGCTGGCAAGCCTGACAATCTGAGTTTGATCCCTAGGACTCACATGGTGGAGAGAAGTGACCACAGCAAATTGTCCTCTGACCTCCACGTGTGCACTAATGCATGTATGCACCCACACATATACACAAAAATAAATGTAAACGTGTTTGTAAAGGGGGCTGAGTATGCTATTACTCTAGTAACTTTTCAGTGGGCTTACTATTTTTCAAAGTGAAATCTTGGAGGAAAAAAGATGGTGAAAATCCCAAGTGATACTGACTGTATAATTTAATCACATCCAGCCTCATGAAGACATTTAAACACAGCATGTAAAATTCGTATGTAGTTACAAAACAACACGTTTTAAGAAGCTTATTGACTAAAATTACAGTTGTAATTTCTGTCTGGACAGACAGAAAAACAGACCTGATTATCCTAAATAATTCTGCACCCCTCTCCCACAAACAAGGGTATTCGCCAACATAAACACAGTGTAGTTACCAGTCAGGATACTAACATACGCATAATACATCATAAAAAATAAGAAACTTCCTACAAACTACTCAAAAGTCAGGTAATTTAGTGCTGCTGCCAATGGAACACAAATTACATGAAAATTAATACGTTTCCTAAAAGGAAAGCATATATACTTTTTAATTAATTTATTTTTTGGTCTTTTTGAAACAGAATCTCCCTGTAGCCCCGGCTGGCCTGGAACTTGCTATGCAGGCCAGGCTGGCCTCGAAAGCATAGAGATCTGCCCGTGTCTGTCTCCCAAGCGCTGGGATTAAAGGCGCATATTTATTTTACTTTATATAACAATGAATAATAATGCAAAAACCTACACCACTGCTGGAATACTTAGAGCGAGAATAATAGATGTTTGGGATTAGTTCGACAGTGGTCCCAGGAAGGAAGTGGGTAGAGTCTTGAAGCTGGCTGCCTGGTCCCTGTGGAGGATGGGTAACAGGTGCAGGGAGGCTTAGTGTTGGAAACAGGGTCTCACTACATAGCTCAGGCCAGCCTGACCCTGGTGTCCTGCCTTAGCTTTCCAAGTCCTGAGACTGCAGGCCTGTGCCATCATCCCTGGCTCAGAGAGACTTTTTTACTCCATTCTCCCAGTTGTTATATGTTGAAAGTGTCAAGAATGTAAAGAAACTGTTGTCTGCATCATACTAAGCCACTCCCACAACAGTATTATTCCAACTCACAAACTAGCATTTCACTATCATATTCTATTAATTTTTCTGCTTATTAGACTTTGCTGCTGTGGCTCAGATATGAACAGATCCTACTCATGTATATGAATCATAAAATCAGCCCCCAAGCAGATCCATCCTAAAGTACTTGCAAGCTGCATACAACAATTTACCTTAGATTTTGTTGAGTCACTAGTAGCTGAATCTGTGGGAGGGAAATAAAAAGTGGTGAGTGTGAGCCAAGTCTTACCGCTTTCAACAAACAGTGCAAAACAATGGAGAAGACCAGGCACAGAACAAAATGTAGAAGCAAAACTCAAAACAACAGAACACAGTGGATAGTCAGAGCTCACAAAGATGCAAGCTGCACCACAGAAAGCCACCGCCATGAAAGGATGCTGTGAATTGTAGGCAGAACCAGCTCATGATAGGAATGGCAAAGGAGCCCTGTGCTAGGCAGAAACACTAGTGTTCACTTCTAAATATTAAATCTTGCAATAAAGAAGCTGGAAGACCTTTACAAATTATATCAGGTACCACATCCTGTATCTGAAACTGATACACAATGTAGAACTTTTCAGCTATTGGCTGCCCTAGTTACAAATTGAGACACTCATACTGGTGTGATTTTTGTCAGACTGTCAGATTTGAATTTTTATAAGCATATACTATATGCAAATAGATTCAAGAGGCATTAGGAAACTCTGCTTGCAGGTCACTTTTGGTTTCATAGTAGAGAAGCTGATTTTTGTGCTTGACCCTAGTTTCGTATTGGTACTGTCAGGGTTCCTTTTGGTTACTTTGGTTAAACTGCTACCAGTTTTGTGATTGTTAACAAATGCTATTATGGAAATGGAAAAATGGAGACCATACTTTTGCTGTCTGGCAAAAACTCAGATTATACAATTATAAAGAGGGTAGGAAGGGGCTAGCAATAGTATGAATAATACCAATTTAAAAATTTTATCCTTCAACTTTTCAGAAACCGATTTTCAAAATGAGTGAGCTGAGCCCCGTGCCACGCCCCTTTAACACATGGCTAAATGCTGTGTGACTTTAAGAACTGGTAGACCATACCATGCTATTTCTCCTCATGGTCTGCTTCAGAAATAACAAGAAACAGCAGAAAAACTTTAAGAAAGTAGTATTGATCTGTTACAATATTCTTAAGCGAGACGTTACACCACAGATCAACCATGTTGGCATTTACAAGAACCGGGGGTTTCTGCAGACAAGACAGCTGCAGTGTGGACAGCAATCCTCCTTCTTCCTACAGTTCCAGCTGTCCATCAGGGACATCACAGAATCCACTAGTGACATTACCGTGTGATAGACTCCTCCCACTTCACCTGTGCAACATCGGTACAGATTTGCCTGTGTCAGTAAGTGCTGAGGAAAAAACCCTTTAGAACTAAAACAAAGACTAGAGACAAAGGGAGAACATTGTGTGAAATAACATGCTAGATCAGTGAGACAGTTTGGCAGGACAAGCTTTTCATCCAGAGCCTTTTAAATACTAATACTTAACCAAGCATTATGGTGGCAGGAGGAGAAAGAAGAAAACCAGTGTCAAATCAAGTGACCTTCACTGCAACATCTTTAGTGACAGATAACACACTGTATCCATGAGAATGGTGTCCGTCGGCAGTTCAGCATGTACACCTTATACCTTGCTGCTCTCAAACAGAACTTCTAGCTAAGAACAAGGACTATCATACATCTAGACCATACTTTCTGCCATCACAGCAACCACATATTCAGCAGCATATATCTGTTTACCTTGTGATGACTATTACATGGAACTGTGGGTTAAAAAAAACAAAACAAACAGTGGTCTGCATGCTTGTTTTTCTCAATTTCCACTCTGACAAACATTACAACTCCATGCACTGTCAATGTCATTATAGTCACTGGAAGAAAACTGAGGTCAATCAGAAAAAGCAGAGTAAGTTTTTTATTAGTCGAAAGAAAAAAAAAAAGAAGAAAACTCATAGTGAATTTTTACTTATGGCTGATTTGCTGTTTCATGTTATAGGATAATACAGATTAACCTAGACGTCAGTATTGCCTGGACAAGAGTTACCTGATACATCTCCAGGGGACACGCCTGTCCTTCCAATGTTGGTGAGCAAATGATCTATGTTTGGCACTGGCTGGGAGTCTACTGTGTTTTCCTCCTGCACTGTTGTCTATGGTTAACAAACAAAGATCTCTTCATCATCTCTTCAAAGATAACACTCTTTAAAATTCAAACAATATTCAGTAAAAAGATACATTATTATATGGAGCACGAGCTTCACTTTTTCACATTGGTTATGTCTATAACTAACAGTAAATAAGAATCATAGTTATATTTTCATTAGATCAGAAACTGAGGCGCTAGTGACCTGCTTCCAGGGACAACAGCTAAAGCAGACAATAGTGTACTAAGCAGAGGATCAGGACTGTTGGAACATCAGGAGCCTGTGTCCCTAATGAAAACAGCTGAGGCAAAGGCTGCAGGCAATACTTACAAGAGGCTCATCAGCACCTTCTTCTGTGAAAAACCAGTCATGCTAAAATTTAAAATGAAAAGGTGAGAGAGATTAGATAAGCTCTTATACATACTGCTATCTTGGAGGACAGCACAGAAATAAGGAAATTTCTTAGGACAAAAAATTTGCTTCCTCTCTTTTTTTGTCCTATCAGGCATTCATGAAAACGAACTGCCCGGAAGAGACGGAGTGTGAACTTACGTGCTGGATGAGAGTCTCCACGATCTTGTACTGGTCAGGCATGTGAGTGACCATGTGCGTCATGTTGTCCTCTGAAGTCCTCACTAGAGTGGGGCCAAAGACTATCGCGAGGTTTCTTGGTTCCATCTGAAAGAAAGAATGAAACTGGAAAATTACACTTACATTCCCATTATATATTTTTTTTTCAAAATTTATTTCTGGGAAGTTCTTTCTGATGAAAAAAATAAAGAATGGTTGAACACAAGTTAAAACTTTCCAGTTAGGAGTTTCTGAAGCAAATTTATATGTAGCATCCTTTTCTGATTGATAACGCACAACACCTAACTAGAATTCTTTTTTTTTTTTCTGTAAGAACTCTTTGATTAAAAATTATTGATTTGGTTTAAAGCAAAACAAACACAAAAGGAAAATTACTAAAGAAAAGAAAAAGGAACTCTGCCCCTCAGAACTGGACCAAGCAAGGGCTGGAGACTCATCAATGCTCCAAATGTGCCACCATAGCCTACATCAAAATCATTAACATGAAAAAACCAGTTAGAAAAAATGTGATCAACTTTTACCTCAACCAAATATCCTGAAGTTCCATTTTCAGCCTTACTCCTGTATGAACACCTTAGTACCACATGCTTATGGGCTTTGTACATCTGCTGACCTGATATTCTGAAATCCTTGTTTAATTATAAGACTGTCATAGGAGTGGATCTTTTGTTTTTTTGGTCTTTTTGAGACAGGGTTTCCCTGTAGCTCCAACTACTATGTAGACCAGGTTGGCCTTGAACTCAGAGATCCGCCAGCCTCTGTTTCCCAAGTGCTGCGATTAAAGGCATGCGTCACCACACCTGGCTAGGAGTGGATCTTTTGCTTTATATTATGCTTTCAACTTAAGCTTTGACTAAAGTGTTAATTAACTTTAAAAACCTACCACAGTATACAAACTATGACCGCAGAACTCAAAAGGCCATACTGAAAAAAAAACCAAAAAAAAAAAAAAAACCAGAACAAAAACCCAAAAGACATCTGTTATTCACATGCCCACAATACTAGGTTATTTTGTGATGCCTTTTAGCTAGGGTACAAGAAACCCAAAGCTTTTCTTCCCCTCTGAACCAAATTATTCATCTGTTAGTCAGCACATATATGTATTATTATACCATACTCACTGTAGAGAAATTACAATAAAATTGGGATTTTCTTAGAATGTTTCCTAGAACGTTGACTTAGAAAAAAATACTACTTTTGGGAAAGAAAAAAATACTACTTTTGGGAAGGGGTTTGTCCAAGGTCCACTATGTGCCAGACATTTAGTAGACTCTTATTTACAACTTCAAGTTCTTAGGCTAATGATATGCATTAACACTTACATATAGGTATTTATATGTAGACATTTGTTATAAATCATTTTTAGCTAGTTCCTATATATAATAAAATAATTAGGGTACATTTTTTGCTAGTTACTTAAATTCTGTTTTTATTGAATTTTTGTATTTCATACAGAACAACTCAGTCAATCTTAATCATCTTCATACCCCTGTCCCTACTGGCAGCCTCCCATAAAAATCATCAGTGACTAAAAGTATGACTAAAATGTATTAATGAAATACAATGTGTGGATCTTATCTGAATATTTAAACATCTTTAAAGAGACATTTTGTTAAAAAAAAAATCAATCAAGAAACCTCAATTTCAACTGAATACTGGCTAATATTTGCACGAGCTAGCTAATTTTGTTGTGCTCAATAATGTGCTACTAAAAGGAGGAAAGTGATCACATCTGTATAAAAGTCAACTAGAGCATGAGACTTTTCAGTGTGCTTCATCTGATGTCTTTTGGCACGTGCCACCTACTCAAAAAAGTGACTTATAGCTGAAAAATCAAATTGAATTTCCGACTTTTCTATTTTTCTTGCCGGATGAATGTAAAATGAAACACTTCTAGAATGAAATGCTCCTTCACAAGACTGGCAACTGCTGCCTGCAGGTCTTTGGCTTTGAATTCGGATCTTCCCAGGGCTCAGCCAGTTTGATGCATTCTTAGAATTTTTTAAAAAGATTTTACTTATATGCGTGTGTTGCCTGCATATATTTAAGTGCGTGCCTAATGCCCAAGGAGGCCAGAAGAGGGTGTCAGATACTCTGGAACTGGAGTTAAAGATGGCTAAGCTGCCATGTGGGTGCTGGGAACCAAAGCTAGGTCCTCTGTAAGAGCAGGCAGCGCTCTTAGCTGCTGAGTCATCTCTCCAGCCTTGTATTCTTCGAGTTTTAGTGAATTATAAACTCATTGTTGAGTACTTGACAGAAAGCAATTAAGCAGGACTTTGTAGCTGAACCCACGGAAAGCACGTTCCTTAAATGTGCCACTTCACATACCTTATTTTTTTCTGAATTTTCTGCTACTGTCTTCAGATGAGCGGAAAGAAACTTAAGTGTTTCGAAATGATGTTCGGGCAGATCGTGAATCTGAAACACATCATTTTCAGAGTGGATTAAAGGCTGCATTTGAACTGTACCTCCCCCAATAAGAAACAACACCTACTAGTCTTTTCAGCGTTTTCAGTCGCTCTAGAGGATCTTCCTTGCGATTGGCTTCAATAAAGTCAGTGTACTTATCTGGTGACAGAAGACAAGTTCAGACTGCTTGAATGAACTGTGACCTGATTCTCCTTCAAGGTTAACTTTAAACAACTACAAATGCACAGAATTTCAATACATCTTTGAAATATAAATCTCTAAAGTTTACACGTTAGCTATGGTTTTTAATGGTCTCCAAGCTTACCAGTACACAGAGGACAGGTTCTCTAAATGGACTTCCCTGAGGGTACAATCTGGTGTGTATTCAGCCTGCCATTCTCCTTACTCCAGAAGAATCTAATACAGGGTCATTTACAGCATCCAAATATTTGCACTGATGGAAAAAATGTTTTCTTTTCTTTTTATTATTTTTATTTTACATGTATGAGTGTATTGTCTGCATGTATGTAAGTGCACCTGTGTCATGCAATACCCGTGAAGGTCAGAAGAGGGAGTCAGATCCCTTGGAACTGGAGTTAGGGACAGTTGTTAGCTGCTTTGTGGGTGCTGGGAATCGAACCCCAGTCCTCTGCAAGAGCAGCCAGTGCTCTTAACCACTGAGCCATCTCTCCAGCCCACAAAACCAGTTCTTAGGTATGCTTTTCATTAAAAATTAGAATGGGGACAAACATTCCCGTTTCTTTCAGCCCTCACATTTTCTCCTGGCTCAATGTACTGTCCTGTGGTTTCCAGGAGAGGAGCTGAGCCTTTTCCCCTGGCATCTTTCGTGGAAGCTAACTCACCATTTGTGAAGAGAGGCTCAGGGAGCTTTCTGAAGAAGGATTTTAGTAAACTGCTTATCACATTCAAATCTCGCCATTTCTAGATGCACAAAATAGAAATACAGTATTTTTGTGATCAATATCATGAAAGGGAAAAAAATGGACACGTTACTCAACAGAAGTGAACTTACATCATCCTGTACATCGATGTCGGCCATCCCCTTGTTCAGTTCTTCCTGCAAACTTGAAATGGCTGCGTTATTCCCAGGAACTCTGTAAATACCTGTATATTCAAGACCTCTTTCTTCAACTAATTTGCAACATATGTCAACTATTAATGGAATATACTGCAAAACAAAAATAAACATTTTTTTTAATGTAGCACAAAAGTTTAGATGAGTGAGTAGCTATATACCACAGCTAAAAAGAAATACACAAATTATTGTTACTGGATAAAGGACCTCAGAGAGACAGAAGTCGAGGAGGGAATGAGAAATCAAGAAGAATGTGTAACTATCAACAGATTCCAATAAAGTCAGAGGGAGTAATAACTCAGAATCCTAGCATGGATGCTGTACGCACACACACGTTTGTATTCATTATACTTTTTTAGTAAGGTCCTTATTCTCATTCTTGTTTTAAGATGCTAAAAGAAGAGACATGGCTGGCAAGGCGGCTCAACAGGTAAAGTACTTGCCACAAGTCCTGACTCCTCCAAGTTGTACTTTGACCTTTACACTGCATGCTGTGGCATGCACACACGCGCGCACGCATGCAGACAATAAATGTTTTAAAAAGCAGAAACACAATTAGAGATGAATTATTACTGACATTTTCAGATACAGTCCCAATGACTAAATCATTTTTCTATTTCAGAGTCAATATGTTAGACAAAAAGCATTAGAAATAAAATCGCTCAACGTACAGAGCAGGAATGCTTAGGAAAACCAACGTCTGCTATGAAGAAGAAAATACTTAGCAGACCAGCAGGCAGCCCTTCATCTGAAAGGCTGGGTGCTCAGGCCGTGTTACAATTACCACTGACTTAATGACTTTAAGGAGTCTGGTAGTTGGAGTCTCCTACCCGATTAGTGTGAGCCGGTGGGCAATCATCCAGTCTGACTCCAAATGTTCCTGTGGCCGTGGGCTTTTTCTCGAACGTCTTTCTCATGATACTTGGAATGCCTTTCCTCCATGTGCCTTTGTCTTTGGGGGGACTGGTATCATCTTTTGATTGTTATTGAAAATACAATGATATAATAAAGAAAGGGGAAGTGAGAATATTAGTTCACTTTAAAAATCCTTTATCAATGCTTATGTTAACTAGAGCCCTACAACATGAACAGTCTACATTTATCAAGATCTTCTCTTCCTACTGTACCTGTGCAACCTTCCACAGTGCTTTGGAGGTATGAGTTGTACCTCTGCACCCTCTCAGCGTCTGTACCATGATTTTTCTGCCAAACAGCTAAAAGCAGAATCACCGTGCCCTCTCTGAAGGAGGCAGAAGGAGAACTGGTTTTGTATTTCAGCAATGGCACCTATCCCCGGAGCTCTTCAAATCTCTAACCATGTCTTGATGTGAATGTGAGCTCTCCTCCCTGTGTTTTGATTACAGAAACTGATGCCTTGGGCCTCGCCTTAAAGGAAAAGACTCAATGAACTTGGACCAGGTCTACAGTGAACTTTGAGCTAGCTGACCCTGGGTCTGCCAGTAAAAATGGTATTGTAAAATAAGAAAATACCTTCAAGATCTCACTTAAAGAACTTGCTAAATTTACCTTTACTGAGGAGCTTCCGCTCTGACTCCTCCTTTGGAGAGTGTGGGCTTTGCGGCTTTGCCTCTGATTTAGTGCCAAGTAGGGTCTGCCTGATGCTAAGACTCTGGCGAGGGGTTTTTGGCAGCTGCTCTGCTCTGCTGCGGAAAGAAGCGGACATTTGCGAACATGTTTATATTTTATATCTATATTAACTGTAGGCATAGCAGAAGTCTCACCTCATCAGACTGTTATATTCTTTGATTCTTCGACTAATCAGATCTCTGTTAGTAACTCCAGTATCCTGCAGAATAAGCAGACAGTAACAGTGACAGTCAGTGGGGGGGTAACAGTGACAGCCAGCGCTGAACGTAGGGTGCCCTCGTTTCTGAGGCTTTCACTGCACACCTTTGCTTATTAATACGCAGACACTGTACCAATATCACCATGTGACAGATGTTTTAAGTGCTTCCTGCCACTGCCATGTGTTTCCTGCTATTTTCTGCATTTATGCAATGCCTAGGATAGTTCCTGCAAGTAACAAATACTCAATATTTATCGAATTGACATGCCATTATGAAAAACATGACGGGGGTGCAGAAAGCCAGTTTCTTCTCTAGTTCCAGAAAGAATGACCAGCACTCAATAGTGGTACCATTGGCTAAAAGATGGACAAATACTACCAGAATCTGCGGACAATTAACCTGTAGGGACAGAGACTGAGGCACCGCTGGCACGAGGAGTGGCGGATCATCAAGGAGCTGGGCCGCAGCATGCTACGCTACAGATCATCAAGGAGCTGCGCCGCAGCTATGCTACACTACGAGGTAAACCCAGAGCTGAGCAAACAGCTCATTCCAGTGACATTTTGGCATGTGTCCTCAAAACAGTTTTTAATTGTTTAATTTTGATTATAATAAATAAAGGAAGCCAAATTATCCTCAAGAAATTGTAATTTCCCCAGGAATCTTGTGCTTGGAAAAGGAAAGGCTGGAGCCTGGAACCAGGAAGAGGCAGGAGCTTGTCTCCCAGAAACAGATTTCACTCATTGTTGATAATCTATCAGACCATGTTGCAGGAGAGACCTGAGTCACAATGACGATGGCAGGATCACACCTTGACCTCAGCTACGCATTACTTTGCTCAAGCTAAACCGAAACCTCATGTCAACACCCCCAAAGATGGACTTGGGGGACACTTGACCTGTTACTTCCTCTTCCTAGTGTGGCCACATTGACTGCACCTCTCTTCTCTGCTTTTTACTATTACTTTGTCTCTTTAATTGGTCCACTGAGGTCGGATGGCTGAACTTTGCTTGTTAAGGCTGCAGGGCCCAAGCTCTGACCCTAACAACTCTGGTACAGTAAGCTGCTATACTTAAATCCTAGTCCAGTCACTTATGTTTGTAAATTGGTGATGAATACAATAGGGCACGTTTGTATGATTGTTGGGATTGACAGAACTGCTTAAAATAGTGTCTGCCATATCCAAAACTGTAAAAGTACTGTGTCTCAGAGTGGGCGGCAATGATGATGATTATGGCCGACATTAACCATGATCACCCTGCCAGGTACTACCCTACATTCTTCATACTTCAATGAACCTGCGAGATAGCTCTGTTTAACAGAAAAAGCCACCCAAAGAAATTTGATCAGCTGGACCTAATAGAAGGTCCAGCACACAGCAGGCAGTTAAAATTTTTTTTGATTTACTATTTTTATTTTATGTGTATGAGTGTTTTGACTTGTGAATACAAATGCCCACACAGGCCAGAAGAGGGCAGCAGATCCCCTGGAACTAAAGCTACAGACTTGTTAGCCACTGTTGGGTGCTGGGAACTGAGGCCCCCAGCCTAATTTTTATAGAAGAACTTTAAATTTTATTTAATGAAGCTGAAATTCAGTAAGCAAAGAAAGCCAGGCTTAGAAAGGCAAATTGCATGTTTTCTCTCATATGCAGACCTTAGATTTTAATTTTTATAATGAATGTCTGTAATGTGGGTACAGGCCATGAAATTAGAAAGGGGATCATAAGAAGGGAAAATAAGAGGACAGGAAATACATTTGACATCAGAGTGAAATGAGGGCTACTTGGGGGAAAAGAGGGGGCACAGGAAAGAGGGTGGGGGAGAGCAGTGGGGGAGGAGCAATAAAAATAGATATGGAAAGCCACATTGAAACCTTTACCTTTGTATGCTGACCACCCCTCCCCCCACCCTGAAGAAAAGCTGAAATCTGTACCCCTAGCTTTCGTTTTACACAGCTCAGACCCAACCTTCCCTAGTGAGTTGCTCTAGAACAAAGGTTGTACTGATAAGGTGCTCAGGTTAATTTTTAACCAAGAATAAGGCAGAGGAAAACTAGCACAGGGGAAGTGGCCTTCCTTATGGCGCTGTAAGTCTTCAAAACTTCAATTAGATACAATAAAAATGAATAGAGAAAGTAATTTGTATGGCTTCACAGTCTACCCAGGTGTTCCCGAGTATGTAACCAAGAGGACAGAGCACAGTGCACCTGACTCGGTCATAAAGATACCACCTTGTGAAGACTGTGTAAGAAAAACCGTATTAATGACATAAAAAAGAAAGAATTTTTGAACAAAAGCTTGATGGCATCACTGCTGGGTCTTCTCAATAAAGGTTATAACTATATATACTTAAAAACAACCTTGACTACTGAATTCTTCCTGTAGGAATATTTTGACAGTTGTGAGCCAGAAAATGTGTGTAAATTATTCCTCATTAAAAATTAAAACTGGCCTTTAACATGATTTTTCAGAATACATGTTTCCTTACAAAACAATTATTACAACAGGGCTTGTAAAATTGCATTTAAAAAATCTTATCTTTACCTTTATACGGTAACTTGTTTTTGTCTTTTTATGTAATGTAAACCCACAATAATCCTAATTTCACGATCAGAAACAGACTTCCAATATATTGGTCAAAAAGATTCACACAGGTCCTGTACCATTTTATTTTTCCTGTTCAGGAATGGTAATTTTTCAGTAAGTAAAAATAATATACTTGAGCTTTCCTTTCTGACAACTAGCTGAAGACAGCATATTTTACAATTTTCCATCAAATTCCTTTAGTCTTCCTAAGAACGCTGTAGCAGTGGCAGACCTGGCTGCATCTTTGCAAAGCTTACCTCTTCACTTAGGTTGCTACTTTCCTGGATGGTCTTGATCCAGGCTAACATATCATCTCTGTCTTCCGCCTGGAACAGGCATTCACAGTCGGATGTAGTAAGTCGGAACACATTTTTCCTCTTGGTCTCACTGTATGAAATGTCGATGAGGCAAGCGTTCACGCTGATGGGCTGCTCTTCCTCCGATGGAGTTACCTGTCCCCTTTTGTCTTTATACAAGTAGAGGGAATGGCCCCGGAGTACAACGTACATCTGTTTCCATGGCCTAATACTTCCACCAACTCTCTAAAAAACACGAAGTGGCCCATGAATCTTCAGTACAAGGCTAAATTTCTGTGAAAGGATCAGCACTAGGGAATACCTTCCACACACGCACACCCTAACCTGGAGCAGCTCTTACCCCATACACACTTCGTTAAGACAGGAAGAATATTGGGGCTGAACAGATGACTCAGTGGTTGAGAGCACTAGCTGCTCTTGCAGAAGACCCGGGTTTGATTCCCAGCACCCACACGCACCCACACGGCAGCTAACAACAGGTCAGAACTCCAGTTCCAGGGAATCCAACACCCTCTTCTGACCTCTGCAGGCACTAAACAACACTTATATGCACACAGGGAATACACTCACACTCTTCAATCCCAGCACTCGGGAGGCAGAGGCAGGCAGGTCTCTGAGATCGAGGCCAACCTGGTCTACATAGTGAGCTCTAGGCCAGCTGGGGCTACAGGGGGACCCTGTCTCAAAAAAGGCAAAAAAAAAAAAAAAAGAATTTAAATGCTTTTGACAGAAAATGTTCTTATAAATAAGCTGGCCACTTACTGCAGGAAAATCCTTATAGAACTTTTTGTTGTGTTGAAATCTACTTAATGGACATATACTGATATCACTGAACTCATTTATATAATTCAGTGTTTGTAAAACAAAATGAAAACAAAAATATAAGGAAACTGAAACAAACTTGGAGAAGTAAAAGTTTTAAATTACTAATATGGAGAATCCATACTTGAGTGAAAGGCTTCTGTGATAACCCATGCACACAGAGAAGGAAAGTGGAGTTCCTTCTTAGAAACTTCAATATTCACATGGGCAAAATATAAGACATATTTCAGTTGGCACACAGGATGAAAAGCAGAAAATCAAACAAATGATCAGCATTTCCTCAGTCAGGAATGAGCCATTCCCCTTTAACACCTTACTCTTTCTTTTTTTTTAATTTTTAAAATTATTTTTATTTTATGTGTGTGAGTGTATTGCCTGCATGTATGTGAGTGCACCTGTGTCGTGCAATGCAGCAGAGGTCAGAAGAGGGCTGCGGATTCCCCTGGAATTGGAATTAAGGACGGTTTGTAGCCTCCATGTGGGTGCTGGGAATCAAACCCAGGTCCTCTGCAAGAGCAGTCAGCTCTTAACCACTGTGTCATCTCTCCAGCCCCAACAACACTGCACTCTTACACATACACACTGTACTTGGTTTTTCAGGATCCACATTTCTGGCATCACATGAGCTGAGAAAGCAAACTACCTTGCCCTTGTCTGTGGTCAGTGGTCGGAACTGGAGCCACCCTTCCTTGGAGGCATCACTGAAAACGTCTGAGGAAGAATCCTTTCTGGACCCAGAGTCTTCTGATGACTTCTGGCTGTCTGTAATCTACAGAAAAGACCAAGAAAACAGAGCAAAATGTCAGCCTTTACTTTTATATTTATTCATAGAAACTGCTTTGCCAGAAAAACCCTGTTTAATGTTCTAAGTAAAACTCTGATGAAAGTTCTACAGTTATCAATCACACCAGAAAAAGTCTAGTCTTTTGCTCTTTAAAGGTAAATGGATTTCCATTATTTTTCAATAGCCACCTACAGAAGAGTGTGCTCCCTAGTGGGTTTATATTTTTGACAGAAAAGACAATGGGAAAAAAGATAAAGAAGAAGCCCAGTGTGAGTGCCTGAGCTTAGCTTAGGCGGAGGTGGGAGGATGAGGGAAGGCAGGGGAGAAAGTACAGGCATGGGCTACAAGGCAAGGATGGAGAGAACTGAGGATTATGAAGACAGGAAAAGGAATGAGCCAGACACAGAAAGACTGCGGAGCACTCTGATGTTCAGCCTTGAACTGGTAACACGAATGAGAAAAACCAGCCCAATGCTTAAAGTATTACATCCTCGATAAAGATGTTTAGAAATAAAAAATGTGGGGCTAAAGAGATGGCGTAGCACTTAAGAGCACTGGTTGCTCTAGCAGAGGCCCCATGTTCAGTTCCCAGCACACACATGGCTGTGAACAGCCATCTGTAACTCCAGTTCCAGGGGATCCAATGCCCTCTTCTCACCTCTGCGGGCACCGCACGACATGGCTGCACTTATATACACATAAAATAAAAATATTTAAAAATTTAAAAATGTGTATTGATACATGTGTCTTCCAAATGCAGTAGACACAGAATAAAAAGCTTTGCCATTTAAATATTCAAACAAAGAAATACTTTTCTTTGAAGAGTTAAACTAAGGTAAGACATCATTTATTTGATATTTAAAAAATATGAAATACTAACCTTGATTCCTTTCAGGCTAGATACATGTTTAAAGGATCTGTTGGAAAAGTATGTAAATATTTGTAATGAACATATAAATATAAAAATACCCTTAATGATATAAGGATTATATTAATATTACAACTAACTTTTCATTACCAAGTTGATATTTCATCATGACCATACAATGCATTCACTGATCAATGTAAGTGAGTGTAGCCAATTTTATAAGTAACAACAACAACAACAACTTTAGATCAAAGGCACAGCTACTTGGACCAATCACTGGCTTTTAAGATAGAAGCTGTACTTGGGCTGCACAAGCTGTGATGTGAGTAGCCACTGGCACTCATCCAGCTGACAGAAACGCACAGCCTGGAATGTAGCCGCGCTGTCAGACAGTTGCTGGCCACACACTCTGTCCTGCACCCACATTCTGAGTGCTTTCAAGAAGGGAACGGCAAATGTTGATGGTCTAAAGGCTTTAGGCTTCAGGGGGACAGATCCATATTAATTATTCAAAGTACCTGAACTTTTAACATGTGACTAAACATGTCACTGTTCTCTCAGAAACCACTCAAACATACAAAGTCAATCTTGAAAAGTATCAGGAGACGCTGAAACTAACCTAGAATATAGAAAGAAAGGGCCAACCCGACAGAAAACCTGTCTGACAATTCATCCTCATCTCTTGGAACAAATACTATAATATTTGCCCCAATCTTTGTATACCTATAATGTCTAGCTTTCAATAAAAATAATACAGATAATAATAGAGACTCAAAAGATGGAGCTGGAGGAATGGATCAGTGGTTAAGAGCATTGGCTGCTTTTGCTGAGAATTGGACCTGGGTTCAGTTCCCAGCACCTGTCCATAACTCCCGTTCCATGGGATCTGATACCCTCTTCTGGCCTCTGTGGGCATTGCATAGCATGGGCGCATTTACATATATGCAGTCAAAACACTCATACACAAAATAAAAAATAGATATATAAAAAGATATTAAAGACTCAAAAGCAAGAAAAAAAACCATTTTCAAAAATATGAAAGCGCTGGAAGACACAGGGATGATCTAGACATTTGATTAAGAATGTGTGCAAAATATACTAGCCGTTTTTGCAAAGAGGAAAAACATGTATGAATAGAGAAGAGTAGCTAAAAGCGGTGAGATAAAGTGGGGACAGGACAGGAGAGGACACCATTAGCTGCGTAATTACTGTCCTCCTAGAGATCAAAACCAAAGTCCTCATTTACACATGAGAGACAGGGTGGAGCTGGTGGGCTGGTGACAGTAGCTGCCTGGCTACTACTTAATATCAGGACAGGAGGGAGGGCGGGGAGTCAGCCACAGCGGGAGGGGAAGACTTTTCTTTAAGGGTGTGGTCACTCGCCCATAGAAGGGTAAAGAACCTCCAACCATGTTCATACAAGTAACCCTATTTAGAAGGAGTCTTAACTGAAGAATCCAGTGGGTGGGGGAGGGGGAGAAGAGAGGATGGGGAGGGATGTGATTCAAAACACTATGTGCATTCTGTGAAAAAAATAACACATATATATTTAAAGTAAAGAAACACACAGTCCCACCATCTTTTCAGGAAGCCGGGCACAGCTGTGTGGGGGAGAGGCTCAAGTGCAGCAGTTACGGACTCTTTCAGTGAGAGGAACTAAAAGCTCACACGTCCAACCTATCACTAGAAAAATTCCTACTGGGCTGGAACACCACCGTGCCGGCCATATCTCACAGGAACCTTTTTTAAGTGGCTGGTCCTAGAAGAACTAATTTCATTAGAATATAAATAATAATCTGATTGATGGAAGGATAGTAGGATCTTTTACAGGGGTGACATAATAAAAAAAGACTAATTATTTTTGACAGAAGGTTCACTATCATAAAAGATGTCAACAGTCCCTAAACTAATCCATAAATTAGACATTGACAATGAAATTATCCGTAAGAAACTAAGCACTAGAAACTCAGGCTTTAAGGTTCAGATAATAAAACTCAAATAAGCAGCAGAATTTTGAAAGAGTACAACATAATGATAAGAGCCCTGCTTCAGTAAAAAACATTCTAAAATCATTATAATTAACAGAACCTGGTGTATGTGGAGACAGTGAATCAACTGCAGAAAGGAATCCCCAAATAAAAAGTTTGTAAATATAAAAAAAAAGAAAAAAGGTTTCAGAGCAAACACACAGAACTGCTCTGATACTAAAGTGCAGAAAAAGACTTTGCCAGACAAGTCAAATATCCAAAAGCTAAGCCACACACTCGCCCTGGAGTCCAGCACTGGGGACAGAGGCAGAACACTGTGAAAACATTCCTAAATTTAACTGCAGAAAAAGTCTTAAACTGTTTTTTCACATGGCTAAAAAAAAATAAAACCAAATGAAAAATATTGAAGATTTGTACCACATCACCGAAAAGTGTTACTTTCATGGTATAAATAACATGCTGAGTCAATGGGAAAACACTAGAAAATGAGCCGAAGGTGACTCTCACACACACACATCCCCGAGCAGCTGCTAAGTATGTTAACTGTGCTCAGCTGGTACCTTTAAAATAAAAATACAATAATTTATTAGATTTGTAGCAAACTCAAAAGTTAAGACTCAAAAGTTAAGGCTTTGTATATTGCTAGGAGAAAAGTGATTTAATATAATCTTTCAGGTCAGGACAATGAACCATAAATTCACCTTTTGAGGTACAATGATGCAAATTTCAATTATATTCACCCATGTACCAAATGAACTATGTATAAATACAGTCAATAGTGTTTGTGGTCGCATGGCTCCAACCACCTACTAATCTAATGTCAACTAACAGAACATAGATAAAATATACTATTTCATGGAAAATCACACAAGCATGAGAAAGAATGTGGCAGGAATCTATGAACTGAAGGATCTCCCAGTCAGTATTTACACCAAATATCCATTTGTTTATAAACATAATTAAAACACACATACATAAGCACATGTATGTGTATTATCATTTTGTACAAGGAAAGCTTACATAAGAAAACAATTACCTATGTTGAGTGTTACCAAGTGGTTACAAGTCTAGTTAGGAGGAACACGTTATATCTATAACCTATAAAATCATATATAAAAATGTTCTTATAAACATAAACATATTCTACCTTATAAATACATATTTGTACCACACATGTGTATTACGATTTTAAAATAGTCTTATTTCTAAAATCCAAATGGATGTTACCAAGTAACAACTTCAATAATATTATTTTATTTGTATTTCTAATGTCATATAGTTAGAAAACAAGACAAATAGCCAGACTCAGGCTGAATACCTGCTCATACATGAATATTTAAAATAACGTGTCTGAGACTTACAATTTTGCATCTTCCCTATAATCATCCAGTCCTTCATCATATGATTTTGATCTTTCTGTCTTTGAGTTGGGCTGGGCATCCAGGCTGGGAGGTCCAACAGATTCTGTAATTAAAATCCACAGTCACACTTTTCTAGTGATTTTCCAGTCTTTCAATGGTGAGAAGATGAATCTGTCATGCTCTTGTGAGAGATGATTTGCATAACGACTTTAACGTACCTTGGTCATGGGATAGCTGGCGTCGAATTAAAGGAGCTGAAGTCATGAGGCTTGGAGGAACTGTTGCGATGGAGGGGACCTGAGAGGCGGAGGCGGAGATAACAGCAGAAGCTGGGATGTGTGCAATATCATGGTCGATGCTAGGGCTGGTTGGCTCGTCTGTCAGAAAAGGAACAGTTATTGGACTCTAACTGAAGTAACTGTTGTAATACAACTAACAGTTGACAATCACTACTCAAAGGGCCAGATAAATGCTTTGACACCCATGAAACTACCAATAAGCAAGACACTTGCTAAAGGTCAGCACACTGCTCTAGTGATGCCAAATAATCCTGAGAATGTAAGAAATTAAATGAATAATTTTTTCTACCAACTATTAAACGAAAACCAATGTAAACTTATAGGTACCTAGAACCAAACTAGCTGAAGCATACCAATAATCATACATCACCCTAAAAATTGCTTTTCAAATGTTAAATGTATTGCAGATGGTCAATTCAGGAAGCTTGGCTAAGGTTTACCTTTGATATCAACCCTCAGAATTTCCCTTCCCCCACCACTTCCACAGAAGTCATTAATTTTTACAGGAAGGTAGCGAATACGAACACCATCTGTTAAACAGTCAGAAGCAGTTGTGTATCAACAGAGCTATGTCCAGCCTACCCAGCATTTTTGAATAAATCACAAAAAGATCCCCTCTTTCCCAGACAAATCTCATCCAGGCCTGTCACTATCCGTCATATAAATTCACATGCATGCATAGCAGCTAATATTAATGGTGTTTATTACATACTACAGAAAATCTAAATGGTTTAAATTTCTTATTTCCTATAATATTTATGAAATCCTAAAACACGTGACTTTACAGACAAAGACAGATTAGCTTGTGTAAAGGTACAAGGTTTGATGGTGTGATTCAAATCAAGCCTCACACTCGAGTCCTGTTCTCTATCTGCCTTCCCATTGGTGAACAATGGCTCTGGCCTAAATTCTCACTCTTATAAAAACATCAATGGTTTAAATTCTACTATATTAGGTCAAGAGATTATAATTTAGTAAGATACCAAAACTATAAAGCTTAAAATTAAGTGTCTCATAACAAAATCCTTTAAAAATAATGATAAAACGGTTTTGGTTACTTGGCTCAGGTTATATCAGCAACCTAAGACTCTCTTATCATTTTAATGATCAATATTCAGCAGAAGGACTAATGTTTGAAAATTATAACATTCCATTTTATGACTAAAAGCAGTAAACTATGACGATCTTAAGCTTATCTACTGGTTTTATGAAAACTTAAAAGCAACTTTTTACATTTTATCAAGAGAAATTATTTTGAAAACTTCTCTAAGCTATTTTTAGTAGGGATAGGACAGCTTACTATCAAGAGTGAGAATTCAATAATCTTTTTTCCCAGAATCAACCAGATATACAAACCTTAATTCAATGAAAATTTTAATTTTTATTTAAAATTTAAAAAATTTATTTTTACCAAAATGTATATTTAAGTTCTTTGAAAAATTTTCAAATGACGCATACATATAAAGTATAAAGTGATTATTATGTATGAGTGTATACATGCATATGTGTGACCAAACATGCCATGATGCATGTATGTCTGTCAGGAGACAGTTTTGTGCCATCACTTCTCTATTTCCACTTTTATGCGCTCTGGGGATTGAACTCAGGTTGCCAGGCTTGTGTGGCAAGCACCTTTAAACACTGAGCTAGCTTGCTGGCCCAAGTCAGATGTTTAAATGAATCTGCTAGTTCACAATTCTACAGTGATTCATGAATACTCATATGAATTGGAGAATGTATTCCATTTGAAACCATAAGCCTTATGCAGTATTAATAGCATTTGTAGTTTGAAGAGAGTTCCTGTAGCAAAGTCACTTATATTTTGATGATTCACATGGGACCTGGTACACAATTTGATATAAGACATAAAATTATTTTAATTGAGATATTCTGTAAGATAGCATTTTTCAAACTTGAGGCACTTTCCCTGGGGATATACAGTTACACATGTTAAAGAATACCTACACAATCAATTGCTATCTGCCACATAAAATGAGGAGATTCTGTCATTTGAGACAGCACAGCCATGGATGGCATTTTGTTTAACAAAATAAGCCAGGTAGAGAACAAGCAATATTTTTTGGAAGAAATTATTGAAGTACACTGGACTTAAATCATCTGAGTCTCAAGTATGTTTTCTTTCCTTTTTTGGTTTTTTTGAGACAGGGTCTCCTTGCAGCTGCAGCTGGCCTGGATTTGTTATGTAGACCAGGCTGGCCTTGAACTCATAGAGATCCGCCTGCCTCTGCCTCCTAAGTGCTTGGATTAAAGGAGTGCGCCACCGTGCCCAGCAAGTGCATGTTCTCTAAAAGGGGAAGAATCGATATCAATTTTAGAGGTTTTAGAGGAGAGAAGTATAGGCGAGACTATTACTGGGTTTCTCATTTCAGGGTTGCTTGCAATCTTTATAATAAAAGGTTACCAGTATGTTAAAGAGAGGAGAGAAAGTATACTGTTTAAATACAGCTGCCTTACCTCGTTTATATACTATACTGATAAATCCAATTTTTATTTCCCTTCAAATTATGAAAAGATAATTCAGAAATATTACTAGAGGTAAAGACACAGGCTGACCCTAACACAAAATAATGGGTGACTTCAATCCCCCACTCTCACTGGTTATCCTGACAAAAATAAACAGAAACATTTGGAGTTAAATGACCTAATAGAAGTCTACAGGACATTCCATTCAAACACTGCAGAACATACATTCTCAGCAGACAATGGACATTTCTCTAAAAGAGAGCATACGACACGACACAAATCAAGTGCCTACATTAAGAAGCAGGGGGGCAAGGGGTGGGGGGAGTGTTTCTGGAGAGATGGCATGTACTGATCTTGCAGAGGACCCAAGTTCCATCCCCAGCACCCACACCAGGTGGCTCACAAATTGTCTCTATCCCCAGCTCTAGGGGATCTGACACTCTCGGCTGACTTCTATGGGCACTGCACTCAGGTATACAAACACATACACACATACATAGGCACAGTTAAAAGTAAAACTGAAATCTTAAAAAAAAAAAAAAAAAAAAAAAAAAAAAAAAAAAAAAAAAAAAAAAGAGATCTCAGATAAATAACAATACGCCTTAGGGCCTTGGAAAACCAGTAACAAACCAAAACCAAAATAAGTAGATAGAAAGAAATAATTAAGGTGAGGGCAGAAATTCATGAAACAGAAATAAAAAAAATACAAAGAATCAATGAAATTCTTTGAAAACATAAACAAGACTGACAAAACCTTAGGAAAATTAACCAAAAGAAAGCACGGGAAGGCCCAGATGAAGAAACAAGGGGACGTTAGTGGAGAAAGTCCAATTGTTCTTGTCTGTGGATAGCATGACCATTGTGACAGCTAGCATTTCACCGTCAACTTCATTAGATCTGGAATCACCCTGGAAACACACCTCTGGGTATGTCTATGAGGGTATTTCCACAAAGGTTTAGTTGAGCCGGGCCCTGAACGTGGGCAGCACATCAATGGGGCTGTGACCCCTACTGCTTCCCAAAATGCAGATGCACTGAGAGCAGCCGTCTTACTCCCCATCTCGATGGCTTGTAAACAAAAACCAACCTTTACTTCCTTAAATGTTGTTAGGTATTTTGTTGCACAAGGCAAAAAGTAATACTATCATGTATGTAGAAAACCCTTAATACGCCATCAAAAAACTATTACAACATGGGCTGGGGATGTAACTCAGTGCCTACCTAGTATGCATGAAGCCCTGGGCTCAATCCCCAGCATCACACAAAACCAGGTGTGGAGGTGCACGTCTATGATCCCAGCACCCAGGAGACGGAGGCAGGAGGGTCAGAAGTTTGAGTTCATCCTCAGCTACACAGAGAATTTTGGGTCAGTTTGGGCTACATGAGTCCCTACCTTGAAAACAAAACAGAACAATTACAACAGCAACAACAAAAACTTGTTAAGACAAATCAATATAGTAAAACTGCAGGATAAAAAAAAAAGAAAAAACACCAACATTTAAAGGTCAGCAGTGTTTCTATACACCAATTAGTAGTCTTCTGGCTATTTGAAAAAAAAAAGTCATGAAAGCAATCCCCCATTTGCATAGCTACAGAGACCCCAGAAAGTCTAGGGAAAAAAATTAAGGAAGCAAATAATCAATGCACAGAAATCAAAAAGCAAGAAGAAAGAAAGGAAGGAAAGGAGGGAGGGAGGGAGGGAGGGAGGGAAGACACAAATAACTTCAAAGCTATTCGTGTTCATGGACTGTTAACATAAATATTATTAAAATGTCCATGCTGCCCAAACAATCTAAGGGTTCAGTGCAATCCCTCCCTACCAAAACACCAACATGCTTTACAGATAAGAGCCAATCATTTACAGTCAACCGATCCTTGACAAAGGTGCAATGCCACATGAAGGATGATTTCTTCAATAACCGGTGCTGGAAAAATGTATCAACACTCCGAAGAAATTGGGATCCTTATATACAAAACCCAACTCAAATGAATGGCAGACTTACCTGTAAGATCTGAATATACCAAACTATAGAAAAAAATATGAAAAATGCTTCATGACCAAACTTATTTATTTGTCCTAATGGGTTTTTTGCTTGCTTGTTTAGTTTTGTTGTCAAGATAGGAAGTTTTCAAGACTAAATAAGGTTTGTTTGGATTTTTAAAAAAATAAGATTCCAAAGGTACAGGCAACAAATACAAAAATAGACAAATAGGATTATATCAAAATTAGAAGGAAATAAGCAACAAAGTCAAGAGAACTTACAAAATTAGGGAAAATACTTGAAACCTATACATTTGACAAGAGGTCAAAATGTCCAGAAAAATATGAGAAACTCAGGAGCCAAAAAAAAAAAACCTCAAATAGATTTTAAAACAAGGAAAATATCTGAACAGGCATTCATGTTTCTGAAAAGTAGATACACAAACTTATAGAAATTATATGGAAAAATATTCAACATATCACGTCAGGGAAACGTCAGTCAAAAACTGTACTGAGGCATCACATCATTCCAGCTAGACAGGGTATTACTAGAAAGGCAAGGGGTAATGAGTATTTGATGGGATGTGAAAACACTGATGGTAGGAATACGCAA